TTTAAATATTCAGAATACATTTTTTGATTTAAAAGATCTATGAATGATAATCTGTCAATATCGTTAAATCTCTCCTTTAACTGAACAATTATAGTATCTAGAACTTCAAACGCAACCCTTTTAAAATTAGAAATAGTATTATCGCCTATATCCCTATTCATAAGAAGTTCCTTACATTCGTTTGTACAGAAATATACGGTCTCATCGCTACGTAATTTTGATATATTTTTAATGGTTTGTTCTACCTCTTGGAAACAAATAGCAGGATTAGATAAAAATTTTGATTGTAAAACAGAGTATAAATGATCTGAAAATATAAAAATTTTATAAAATAAACATAACATAAGAACAAACTTTGGATTATCTAATATTTTGTTGAAACCTATAGCTAAATTAGTACTTTCTGGATCAAATTTTTCAGAAGATTTTACAAAATTCATTATTTGTTTCAAAGTATGATAATTTTTAAAAATAGAAAATACCGATCGAGAATGAAAGTTCCATCTTGTATCAGACCCACTAGGAATAGCAAATCCCGCTTTTCTTAGTTCTTCCATTCGTAAAGGGGATCGAGCAAAGAAAGTTTTAAAAGAAGTTAAATTACAAATAAATAGTTTTACATCTTGAATTTGTTTAGAACTATGTAAAAGAACTAGATTCAGCTGATGAGCATAGCAATGTATAAAGAGTGCTTGAGGATGAGTTTGTTTTATTATAGTTTGTACGCCACCTTTTGACCCAGACATCACACTAGCTCCGTCGTAAGTTTGTGATACAAGTTTATTTTTGCCTATCTGGCATGAGTTTAAAACTTCTAATATTTTTGTGCTAAGTCCTATTGCCGTTTTATTACTGGAAACGTCATAAAAACCGAGAAATCTCTCAACTATTTCATTTTTATAAATATATCTTACAATTATGCTGAACTGTGCCCGACAAGAAACATCTGTTGTTTCATCTGCTTGAATAGAAACAAAGTCAGCATTCTTTAATTCCTCTAAAATAATTTCCTGGATTACATATTTCACTGACTCGATGAGATCATTTTGAATGTCACTAGATGTTCCTTTAAAAACTGAATTGCTTTCCAAATGATCTTTCATAGTGGATTCCTCCATAGCAAGCAGCTCCAAAAGCTCTAAATAATTTCCTTAAAAAATATTTTTGTTACTTTTAGTTTAGTAAAAAAAAACTATTAGGTACCTACCTTTATTTTTTGAGTCTGCTGTCTCATGGTGTCCTCTAAAGGCGAGTTCTTGTTTCGCCAAAAAGCATACCACGTCAATTAATCGTCCAACAATATGCCTATTTTTTCTAACGTTCTCATTATGTTGTTGGGCATTCTTTTTTTGCGCTTCAACGAGGGCGTGATCTATACGCACCTTTCCGAGCATACAAAAAAATTCATTGCAGGAAATGTGCTTTTTTGAAGATGCGTGTTTATTGGCTTTCTGTACAAAATTTTTTACCACATCAACACCAGATTTTGCCCAGGGTTCCTCTCCATCAAACAGATTACAGGGAAAACAATATAATGCATTCGTATTAACACTTCCCGTCAACCAGCTAAAGGATTCGTACCAACTTTTTTGAAATTTTCGAATAGTTTTTCCATCTTTTTGCGATATATTTAATTCTGGCCGCTTTTGGGAATTTTTCAAAAGTAATTTTTCTTCGAGAGATAGTGATGAAAAACTACGTTGTTTTACATAAATAATCGGATCTTCTATATCTGCCATTTTATTACCGAACAAACGAAGGCGAACAAAAAATTTAAAATAATTATTACTCTGCCACCCACAAGCGCATTTAACAGACTAAACATAAAAAAAAAAGAAACACTGAACTGAAAACTAAAATATAGAAATATTGGAAATAGACCATATAAAGTCGAAGTCGCATACGATCCCAAACGCCATATATCTCACCGTAAGAAATATCTGGTCAACAAGATAGACAAACGAGCAAGTGTCTTTCCATTGTCCGATATTTCCGTACTTATATCGACATCGGCCAACACTTTCAGCCAGTCCCGGATACGCCCGCCGCATGTGGTTTGACTGGTTTGTGTTATTGAAAGACAAATCCCAATATGTTTACCCTTAGCCCGATCGGCTATTTTATTTATAAGTGCAGACTCTTTATATTATAGTTTGATACAATGCTGTAATTTGGATGGCTAATAAACTTAAAAGTACATTAATAAAAATAATTATTTTATAAAAGCGTTGTTTTAAAATAAAAAAAGAAATTTTTTGTGTAGAATTTTGGGTAGACAATGTCTACCTTGTCTACCCGTACGCTTCGCCACTGCCTTCCATTAGGACATAAATGGGCCTCTCCGTTTATTCTAAAAAAGAAACCACGTTTGAGTTAATATTATTAGATGTATATAACACTTTTTTGAGAAAAAACATTATTTTTATCAAAAATAGGAGATTAAAGCCATAGAAAACAGCTGTGTCATTATTTTAGATTTTAATACTACTATTTTTTTGCAGATTCCAGAGGATTTGGAAAACTAACACCATTACGAATTCAAAAAGCAGCAGTACCACACAACTGTGTTAAAAATACTCATGATTTTGTACTTTTCTAAACAAATGATATTAGAAGAAACTTAAATTGAAACAAGCATTTTTCGACAACATTGGAAAGTATTTGTTTTCTTGAAATGCAAAATAGACGCAGAAAATTATGTCTTGGTCCTGCATTAACAATTGTTTTGAAGAGATTCCATTGGAGTTCTTATTCAAACTGAAAGTGTCATTCGTTGTAGGAATATTGGGCTTCCATAGTTTTTACTGGATTCTTTCATAACAAATTTTACATTCTTTCATACAATACTTCTTTTGTTATGGTATTAAGCCAAAAGATATGTAATATATTTAATTTTTAAGGCACAGGTTATGAAAACCTGTAACTGTCTTATTTTTTCACACCCATGTAGCAAAACCGATTTGATATTCGAGTTATATATTTTCAGATTAAAGATGATTGAGAAGACGCAGTGGCGCACCCAGGATTTTTGTTTGGGGGGGGTTCATGATGATGAAGGCTGAACACAGAAAAAAAAAAGCAGATTTCACAAATTTCTTGTTATTTTTATTAACGAAAACGAAAGGAACATACTACATACATTTATTTGGATTGGGAAAATAAAATTTGAAGGAAAAAACATTCAAGCTATATTGGCAACAAAAAAAGCCCTATTAAGCCAAGCTGAGTTTTAATTTTCTAGGCTTCTCGGCGAACCTATTTAAAATATTTTCTACAGACGGAGTCTGCAAATAATAATAATAAATATGCAAAATAGTCAGGCCATTTAACCGGTTTTCCGAGCTACTGTTTCTCAAATAACTTTTGAGTCGTCGCAGAGTTGAAAAACTACGTTCACCTTCAGCAGTAGAGACAGGCAGTATAGCTAATATATGGAGTAATGTCCTGATATTTGTAAAGGTGTCAGTAACGTGTTGTAATGCGCTTAAGGCATCTCTGGGCCGCTTTTCATTTGGCAGTCTAGCAATTGCTCTGTACCAAAGTCTAAGTTCGACAACTAGCTCATCTTTGGTTCCTGTCAGGTCATGTTTATAAAATAATACCAACGATTGGAATTCAGTTATCGTTTCGTCGGTGAGAATGGACGGATCGGGACGGTGGTGTAGCGGTTTATCGCGCTTATATTCATTTATAGGCAAGTTTATGAGTCTGAGACTGCTGGGTTTCGAATCCCAGACCAGACCATGTGGATTTTTAATTAAATTGCATGGTTCGGTTTAGGATTTGATGTGTGGCGTATTAATAGAAATTCAATTTCTGTTGATATGACATGCAGATTAAAAAAATTCGCCATACATTACCGTCTCGATGATGGTGGGTGAGGTTTTCCGGGTTTTCCTCACCTGTAAGTCAAATGGCACCATCAATCATCTTTAAGTCGCCCCGGAGCGCCACGGCAAATAATAATAATAGCCGTCCCTTCCCCTACACAAGTCGTTCAGTCGACTTCAGGGGTTGAAATTCACTCGTAAGGGGGTGAATTAGTGAGAGTATTATTATTATTATTATTATATTATTATTATTATTATTATTATCTTTAGGAAACAGGCTTTGAAATCCGGCCAATATTTGCTTATGTTTTGAAAATATTTCTTTTATGTTACTTATAAAAGAGTCCAAAAATGGAATATATATTGCAATCCGGTAATAATCTTCGGTACTTTCCGTATCAACATTACACCTTTTTGTTTGATGTAGGCTAGTTCGCGGTTTATTTATAGGCAACTCAAACTTTTCGCCCAATTTTTTCACTTTTAAAAATAGTTTTTTGAATTCCAAATTTTCATTTTCCCGCAAGCTTTGTTGAAGTTCAGCAATTATATCTTCCGCTAAATTTGCAGCCTGTTTTAAATCAATATTTCGTTGCTGGAACGCTTTGCATAAAATACTGCTAAAGCTGAATATCTGACTTACAACTTCTAAAGAAATAACAAATTCGGGTTTTTTTTTATGGATGCTCCTAACTGATTTGCTGCATTGGCTGAATCTTTATCTGTCCATTCTGAAATTTTCTTCAGTGCTAATACAACAGGATCATAGAGCTCTAAAAAGACAGCAACAGAGTTATACCTTCCTGTCCACCTAGTAGCGCATAATTTAATTAATTTTTCATGGCCAAAAATTACATCCAATTGTGCTAAACACTGTTTAATAATGACTTGTCGTTTCGAGGTGTGAAAAAAGTCATACAACTTTCCTATAGTACCTAAGCAGTTTCTAATTAAAGGCAAGTCGCAGGAATTTGAAACAGCTAGGTTCAAAGAATGTGCCGCACAGTGCACATAAAGAGCCTTTGGATAAATAGCTTGAATGTGGGCCTGAACACCATTAAATTTTCCGCTCATAGCTGCTGCACCGTCATACCCTTGACCACGCAATTTATTTAGGTCGATTCCCATGTCTTTGTTTTTTTATAATTGCCATTGAAATTCCCTCTCCTGTCACATTAGTGGTACAAACTGCAAAAAAAGCTCCTCTATAATGGAAGATGTTGAATCAATACAGCGAATACACAGGGTCATTTGTTCCATGCAGGAAATATCAGTTGTTTCATCGACAAGTACGGAAAAGTACAATGAAGAATTAATTTTTTTAACTAAATTTTCAAGAATTAATTTGTTACGAATTTCAATTATTTTGTTCTGTATCTTCCAACTAGTATACAAAGCATTATTTTTAGCATTAGAAAGTACATGATGTATGTGGTCGTCATATTGTGCTCTATATTTTAGGAGTTCCCGAAAATTCCCCTCATTTGCATCAATAGATACATCATCATTATCAAGCACTCTTCCTCCATCGCGGTGGCCCGTTAGTGCTAGTCCTTGTCTTCCGCAGAATAAAACACTTTCTATAATCGGTATTAACTTCTTTCTGTTTTCCATAATTTGTTTATTTTCTTCGCGATTTAACTGAAAATGAACTGGCTCTTGCACCCCTATAAAAAATAATCCTAAGTAACTCGTTAAATTAAATTCGTTTTTTTTTATTTATTATACGTTCTGTTGCTTTCTTCCAATTATTAAAAAGTAGCATGCTTAACTGTCCTAAATTTTCGTGTTTTCCGAATCCTACACTGACTGATGTATGAAACAAAACACAATATTTGCAATAGGCACCATCATCTTTTTTAGAATAGCTTAACCATTTCCACTTGTGAAGCCATTTAGACTGAAATGTTAAGTTCCTCGTACCTGATGAAGGGTAGGAGAACGTCTCTGATGGATACCACAATTTGTCTCAAACTTCTTTCTTCCTAGTATTTGTCAACGTTGTATTTACAAAATTAGCTATATCGTAGGAATCCCAGCATTCTTTACTTGTCATTTGATTATGTGCTTGCTCAGTCTGTAGCTCATTTTCAGGGATATCGTTTCCAGTCGCCAAAATTAAAATTAAAATAAGTATACTAAAAGTGAAAGCGGAAAAATACATTTGTTAGATCACGAATCACGCGTAATATCAAACTAACTTTTTTTAACAAATATTTTATTTAAATTAAAAGACCGATCATTGAGATAATTTTCAATTTTTGTTTATTACTTAAAGAAAAAATAAAATATAAAATTGATAAAACAAAAGTTTCTAACCCCCCCCCCCCCCTTGGGTGCGCCAATGAGAAGACGTTTGATTTCAACACACTGTAGTCTAATCGTTACTTACTTTTTCGTTTAATACCGCACACACCAGCTTAAATGTAAACTGACTACATCAGCGGCGTAACGAGAAACTTTCTAGGAGGAGGGGAGGTGCATAGGCCTTGTTGGTTTCTTATACTCGTCCTTTTTTTTAACTGACAGCAGTGAACTTATCATTATTGTGGTAAAAGATGCATTATCTTCCTAAAACCAGTTCTTGAGAATTCATTTTTAGATTTTCTAATTCCAAAGTTGAAAGCAATCTACATGTTGTATGGTTCAGTAACGACTACAGTTCCACACAAACAGAATTTTTTTGATACAGTAATTTTTTCTGGGTAACACAATTTTTTGGCTTCTCGAATTTTATTGTAGGAGGGGTATAAATCTGCATTGTTTTCTTTAGCGCTATTTCGAAGTTGTTGATATTGATATTAAAATAATTCGATGCGATTTTAAAGATGCAAGAAGCATCGTCATCATCACTGTAGTCATGAAATGGGCGAGACTCTTCATATGCATCTTCAGTATCGAATTTTACTCTTTGTTTCACAGTTCTGGCTGACTTGCATCTTTCCTTTGCCAACTTTTCTTCAGCTTTCTTTCGAGTTTCCTCAAGAAACGGAGTGCTTGTCATATTAGCGGCTCCTTGAGTTTTCTGTTTTCTTTTGATTTCTTTTTCGCGAGTTCCAACAGGAATTGGGAATATTTCTGCTATAGAGCCTGTCTAGTAGATGTAGTAGGATTTACTCTTGTAGTCGAGGAGACTTCTTGAACTGGAATATTAAGAGTTAAGACGCTCAGGTATATAGTAAGTTGACATTCCAGGCTGAGGGCTACGGGTGATGGGTTTATTAATGGTGGAAATTGGTTTCTCTGGAGTAGAAGGAATAAAATCTTCTGTTATTGCTTGGTTTTCTGTGGGAGCATTATTTTCCATCTGAGCATCATTGGTAACTGAATAATTCGTTGTTTCGCTCGGAGCATATTCATGTTCTTCGAATATGTCAGAATTTACAGGGAAAAGTCCACATTTCCCAAAACCACTTGTTGCTGTTTTTATCGTGGCTGCTTTCCCATAGGCTACTGCAAAAAGTGAACCAATTTGATACTGAGTAACGACTCTTCCTGGATGTTCCCTTAGCCATTTGGAAATTTCTTGATCGTAAAATACCTTGAGCGGACCAAAAAATGAAACATCAAGTGGCTGTAGCCTATGGGTACAGTGTGGGAGTAGGCAAAGAAAAACTATACCTACCGTTAGCTTTGGCAAATTCAAGTACCTCCAAGTACTTATGACTTGCGTGACCAACTTTATCCTGTATGGTAGGTTTAACATATTGGGAAAAATGCTGCAACCACTTTAAGAACAAAGGTCCGGTCATCCAACCTTTTTCTTGCACAAGTCCTATGGTTCCAAGGGGAGCTCCATCTAATAGCTTATATTTAAAATTTTTCCGGGGGTTTATCAGCGCCGGTGGCACAAAATGGCCAGTTGTTCCCATACAACATACCACTGTAATCCCCTTTCCGCACTCGTTAATGCTGTTACGGGTTAATTGTAAGAATTTAATTAATTTAAATTTAAATATCTTTTCTGGGCATAATTTAAAACAAATAGTAAATTTACCTGTTTACCAATAAGCAGACACAAAATAAATGAAGGCAAAGTAAAACTATTAACTTTATTCGGGATATCCTTCTAGTACAATGTATAACAATTTATTTCAAATGTTCTACTCCCATCATAATTCTTCCTAGTTCACTATTAGAGTCTTTTCTATCTTCTTGACTTTCCTGAAAAATAAAAATAAATATTAAACCCTGAATAAATTAATAACAATAACATAACCTTTAGAATTTCAAAGGTTCAAAGTTCAATGATTCTTCTTTTCTTCTCATACATAAAAATTGTCAATTAGCAAACTAAAACTTCTCAGGTAAACCTACAACCAGATCTTTTCTATAGTCTTACCTCTAGACTAATAAGACCGGCTAAGGTCAATAACAAAAAAAGGAACTTTTTTTGAAAAGCTTCCTTTGAGAACGCACATTTTGGTTCGTGAAGAACGTGCTCGCATTATTGCGGATTTTTACATAAATCTAGGATATATTTAGTGAATATTTCAATATTTACGAAAACTAGTAAATATCACATTACTGTGGATATAATTTTCATTATAATTCTTAGATTTAGAATTTAAAAACTTCGACTTTATCGAAGCCACTTGGAGGCCTCACGCAACGCCAAGGTGAGTCTTATAGAAATAACTTGTTCAAAATATTCTATTTAAAATTTACTCTGGTTGTTAAAATGTAAAATATTATTTTAGGTCTCTTTTCTTAAGTTATCGTATAATAACTTACCTTATCGTATCGCATCAGATTGTCTTGTTTTCCAATCATTATTCACCCTCTTAATTCATCTTTGGGCTCGAAGAAACCCTCACGAATATTCCTGAGTAGGTACGGGTTAGGGGAAAGGGAGTGAAGATGACGCACTTAAGAAAATACTATATTATTTTAGGCTGTAAGGTAAAAATGGAAGTTTAAATACAATGCATATATAAAGTAATCAATTGCTTCTGTCAATGTCCGGTTATTTTTGTTGTCTGACCAACCTAATACATTTTACAGGAAAAACAAAAAAAAGTGCATTTGCGCCATCTTTTCCTCCATGCAGGAAAAGATGGCGCACCGTGGCGGATAAGATGACGCAAATAATAAAAGTCAAACATTGAACATATAATTGAACATTAAACATACAGTTAAACATGAAACATACAAAAAACATTAACACATACGATTAAACATTAAAACATGACTTTAACTAAGACAAAAATCGCAAATATAGTTATCTGGACTGTCAGCACCTGTACATGCTTTGTGGGACCAAAGTCCACAACGTGTACATCGGAACCATACTTCATTATGTTTGCCGAAGTCACAACATTCTGTGCATATTTCCCCCTCACCACTAACATCATCTAGTTCATCATCATCACATATTTCTTTATCATCGTAGCTCTCTTCATCACTCTCGCTTTCTATAATAATCTGTTTAGTTCTTTTTTGGTTTTCGTTAGAGTCTTTTCTTTTGTCTTCGGTTTGTCCTTTTGATTTTCTTTAGTTTTTGACGAGTTTGTCAAATTTCTCTTGGTTGCGTTTGCTTTGTTTATTTTTATTTTTTTTTATTATCTTTTTCTTCCAAAACTTCTTTAAATGGAGTACTAGTCAAAATTTCAGAATGTTGCTGAGGACGTAAATTTTTTCTCTTTTTTCCTGGGATAACTGGTATTGGTGAAATTATCTGAATAGGTACATGTTTTTTCATCGGGGAATTAGATATATTGGACAATACCTCCTTTGGTGGTGTTGTATGAATTGGAGATTGTCTGCTTGTTGATGGTTGATGTACGTCTGGATATTGTCTGCTTGTTGATGGTTGCTGCGTATTTGGATATTGTCTGCTTGTTGATGCTTGATGTATGTCTGGAGAACGTCTATTTGTTGTTGGTTGAATTGGCAATAATGGTCGATCAGTTGTTTTATTGAAGTTTTCTGCAGGAGCAAAGTCAGAATCTGTAAATTTGGTAGAATCTATAGGGAATATTCCACATGTTTTAAATCCAGAAACTCCTTTTTCAATATTCGCAACTTTCTCATAGGCTAGTTTAAAAATTTCAGCAAGGTCATAAGGAGTTACTTTATTTTCGAATTCGGAATTGTACAGTTTTGACTTTAAAAATACATGACACTGTTGGCTAAAAGCATTTTTAAATGGGCCAAAGAATGTTGCATCTAATTGCTGTAGCCTGTGAGATGTGTGTGGCGGAATTGATACCATAATTATTCCCATATTCTTGCAAAATTTATATATTTCAATAGAAATGTGACTACTATGGTTATCTAACACCAGTAATACTGGGTTTTCCTGGCTGCATAAAACTTTTGTCTGAAAATGTTTAATCCACATAAGAAAAATATTTTCGTTGCTCCATCCACTTTCAGAGCATGTATAAATTGCACCGGTAGGTCCATTTTTTCCTAATAGTGGATTCATCCGTTTTCTGGCAAATACGAATAACGGTGGTATAAAAGTGCCCGTTGCACTCATGCATACAATAAATGTTGTATTTTTACCACGTTCCCAAGAAGTTACAATACCAAATTGTTTGATTCCTTTTGGTCCAAGTCTCTTTTGATGTTCATTAGGAACCGTGGATATACCAATTTCATCGACGTTG